GGCAGGAGGATCTAGGTTGAGGAGTTTGAGGCCACCCTGAGACCCACTACAAAGCAGAACAGAAGACCCCTGCTATTCCTTTCTGTGGTATTCGTTTTCAGTTCCACAGTGGTTAATCTCTGATTAATCCCTAACCTCTCTCCAGAGCTTAGAAAGATGTAGATGACACCATGTATTGCCATTTGGTCCGCATCACCCTCATTTAGGCAATAGTTGCTGAGTTTCTGCTGGCTGTTGTTAAAGGTCTTACGATTTATATTTTACTCCATGGTGATGACAATGAACTGATAATTGCATGGCAAAGTCACTTTTAGAAAAACTAACCACCTTTGGCTAGGGAATGTGGCTTCGTTGCCAGATTGCTTGCTTAGTATGCACGGAGCCCCAGATTTGATTTCTAACACCCCATAAAGCCAGGCGTGTTTGTGCACAGCTGTATCCAGCACTAAAAGTGGAGGCAGGAGGGCCAACGTGCTCAAGGGGCAGTGTAGCAGATTCGAACCCCCCGGTGTGCCTAGCTGAGTTCACCACGAGTCTCTAACTATAATGGAAAGGACGCTGGGAAGCTCCCGTGGACCAGCAGGCGCTGTTCAGCCTCCTAAGCGCTTGCATCTTCAAGTGCCTCACCGCTTTGTCTTCAGTAATTCTTCCTCGAACCAAGTCAAGTAGAAATCTGCCTTCTTAGAGCTCACCCAGTAATTCTTCCTCCCATTTCCAGAAGTCTTTATTGGAGGCCATGTTTCCTCATGCGTGTAACTAGACTCAGAAAGGAGGAAGAAGGTACCATGTATTTAAGGTATGCTTGGGGCCTTAGCAGTTCATGGCACCTAGGAAATAATTCTGTTGTGTGAGAAACCCATGCTCGACTGTTCTTGTTCAGTAATAATTCAGACTTCACTTTGAGCCTGAGATTTGAATAGTTAATATGAAAAACTAGAAGTTGGGTGGTGGTAGCACATACCTTTAATCCCAGCACCTGGGAGGCAGAGGCAGGCAGATCTCTGTGAGTTCAAGAACAGCCTGGTTTACAGATTGAGTTCTGGGACAGCCAAGGCTACACAAAGAACCTGTTTCAATAAATAACAAGGAATTTTGTCGGGCAGTGGCGCACGCCTTTAATCCCAGCACTAGGGAGGCAGAGGCAGGCGGATCTCTGTGAGTTTAAGGCCAGCCTGGTCCAGTTCCAGAATAGGCTCCAAAGCTACAGAGAAACCCTGTCTCGAAAAACCAAAAAATAATAATTGGTTTAATACAAATTTAATAAATTCCTTCTAGAATATATATTACAAATGATGAGAAGTTTTTTGGTTTTTTTTTTTTTTTTTTTTTTTTTTTTTTTTTTTTTACTTTAGTTGCATTTCAGGTCATAATTCTAGAAGAAATGAGACCTGTAATTCTAGCACTCAGGAGGCCGAGGCAGGATTGCCACCGGTCCTGGGACAGCCTGAGTTAACAGAGAATTCCAAGTCAGATGTGCTATGGTGAGATCCTGTCCTAGAGATCGATCCGATAGAATGTGACAACCATGTGAATTAGAAAGGTCCCTGTTTTCCTAAGTAAAATTCTCACCAAGCTCTGAATGAGTTTCTGAATTTGAAATATTTGTGATTTCTCTCTGGGAACCAGGCTGTCAAGACAGGGAAACACTCTGGACATCAAGCTACAGAACCATTGGATTCCTACTGAGGTCTCACTACTGAATCAATGCTGAAATAGTGTCACTCTCTTCCCACTGCAGACTTCCAACTCCAGAAAGACTTAACAATGGTGTTAGTTAAGAAGGCATGGCATTCTTCAATGTACCAAAGGGAGAAGACATACTGATCTGGAGAAAACTGGCTACACATCCAAGGGAACAGTTTGACAGATACTGAAATGAGGTTTCAGGAGTTCTGGGCCCCCCAAACTCTACAATGTCACTGGAATACTCTCTGAACCCATTCCTGTTGTCTTGAAACTGTTTCATATTGTTCTAGTAACTGTTGTGGTGTGCCAGAATATCAGTCCTGTCCCTCACTGAGACCTAACAGCTAAATTAGACTTGAAAGGTCAGTTTCATTGCTCATTAAGACTGACCATATTGTGAAGAAACTGGATTACACCTGTTGGCAGAAAAGATCTAGACATGCTGTTAGGAGCAGCGTGACAGTGAGACAGTCTTTGCCTCCATCACCCCAGGGCTGGGGTTAGACGCGTGCTTGGAGCCTAGTTTCTTGCTTTAGATACCTTCCTGTTGATTCTAGTACCTCCAGCGTATACTAACTTTAGAATGATAATTACGCCCAAGACTAAGCTCTAACACTGAAGACTTGTGTTTCAGCTGCCCTGAAGTCTGGTACTTAGATCAGGCTGGCCTCGACCTCACAGACCTTCAGGATACTGGGAATAAAGTCATGGAGCCACCATGCTAAGCTCAGTTCTAAAACCAATTAGTTATATATAAATACACTAATTTTCTTTGCCAGTTCTCAAACGTTGGGCTACCACGATTTATAGCGAAAAGCTTACACAGCATTTTTTCATAAGGCAAGGCTAATTTGTAAGTCCTCTTACAAATTATGTTAGTGTCAAAACAAGCTTCTTTAAATATCTGCATACATACAGTTTTTCATCAATTCTACTTCATGTACTAAGCAAGGAGATGAACTGTTGGCAACTACGATGCCCCAAACCTTTAAAAAGTAACAAGACAGGAATGTTTGCTAATACTGATTTAGCCAAGATGACCGTCAACTAATCTTTTATCCATCTAGAACATTCAGTGGTGGAGTCCCAACCTCCAAGCAGCCCGACTTGGAAAAGTCAAAACTGTTCATAATTTGTTCTTGGTACCACGTGGAACACACCTGACAGCTCACTGTGACATATGCTACATGCCCCCTCCTTCAAAGGAGGCAACTTAAACTCCCTTCTCTAGTAAAGTGGAGTGAAGTGGATACTCTGAGGCCCTCTTCTTCTCCTCACTCAGGAAGTTAGGTGCAGTGGACGACAGCAGCAATTCTGGCATTCCGAGGCAGGGGTTAGCCCAAACTACAGCGAGGTCCATCCAGTAAGGAGGGACGGAGGCAACTCAAACTGTGTATGCATTCTCTATATAAAAAAATTTCAAAGACTTGAAACTTGTAATCTTATATATTTACTTGCAATCAATTTGTCTAATATACAGTATATATGTGGTAGTGCTTCAGCTTTGACTCCACCCACTTCCAAGAGCATTCACAATGTGAACCACAGGGAACTTTCCATGTTCTCTAAGTCCTGAAGTCTTCTGAAAGGCAAGTATAACAATACAAATCACTGCTGTGGTAAGAGTGCCCAGCAAGGAGGACTGGAGGTAGTCTTATTTATGCACCTTCATATAAAAAACAGAAAAACCTCATCAGATTCTATAATTCGAACCTGTAAAGTCCACGTACAGAGATATTTGAATGTCCCAAGTTTACAAAGGTGTTCCCCTTACCCAATTACTCTAAATTAGCACACCTGCAAGTAAATCAGAATTAAATACCAATAAAATTCACAAAGCCAGAAGCAGTTTAGTGCTCACAAGTTTATATTTTAAGTTGATAAAGATTCTTGTGTATTTCCTAAATACACAGACAGACAGATTTTGGAGGTTTACATACATGTCTCAGGACACTTATATTAGGTAGGTAAATTACATTAAAAAAAAAAAGTTGGTCTTTGTAAAAGATCTTCCCAGAGAGCTTTCACAAACAGCAGGCAGAAGAAAGCGTTCTGTTTACAGTGTTTAAGATGCTGATTCTCCCACATCATAATGGCCTCAATCATCCCTTTCATAAGCCCCAAATTTCATTCTTAATAGTGTATTCCAAATTTAGTACCCCAATATTCTAAACTCCAGGGCTAGAAATAGAAAACATCTTTGAAAGTGTGCTTATCCCTAAAATGTTTTAAATGACCTTGTTCAAGTTCACTTGAAGCCTGGGATACAGCAGGGAAGGGACAAAATAAATAATCCTATTTCAAACCCTAAATTGATTAAGAAAACATCTGTTAGTTCAAACTGTGTAGATTAGGTACCATAGTTAAGCTTAAGGATCTGGGTGACTGAACGGCACAAAAACTGAGGCTTACATCTAGTTCTTCGGACTAAAAACCATCCTTTTCTAAAGTGAAAAGGTCAGGGCTCACTAATGACGCCAACCACAGTGAGGTGTTTAGGTCAAAGTGACGAGAGCTCCCAGAGGACCGTGTGGTAGGAAGCTTACTGGGGGCAGATAGGGTACAAAATTCCTAACGCAGCCATTTTACAGGGAGAATATAAATTTACAAAAGAGCTGTTTTATGGGGCAAATAGAGCCCCCTAAAAGAGCCAGGGCTTCCAAAGCAGACCTGATCAAACCCAGATCTGGTAAGCTGTAGTAGTTAGGCAAGTGTCTGGTATCTCTGAGCCTTTATCTGTAAAATAGAATAGCACCTACTTTAGAGTCTAGAAAAAAATAAGGCAGACAACACAAAAGTATAGGCATACGGAAAAGGCGTGGGAGCTCGAGTCAGGAATCCTCTTCTGCTATCTGCTCAGAGAAGGGTAAGGTCTCAGGCTTGTCACTGCCTTCCATGTTTACACTAGAGCCAGCCTTGGGCCCTTTCAAAGTCCCAATCCTTTAACTTCCTTTCTACTAGCTTTCATTAATTTTGTTCTTGGCTCACGTCTAAACTACTTAGTGTGCTTGAGTAATCTGTGAACGGCAATAATTAGCTCACTTTTCATCAGGATGACTCAACCTAAGCCAGATAGTGTTTTTTGCCCCCAAAGTAAAAACTACTGGTTACTGTCCTGTTTCCCCTTCCAATACTGCACACCCTCAAGATCCTGATCACTAGGGCACTAAAATTTAGCAGCTTGTATAGGAAATAATAACCATGACAAATGAAGGACCATATGGGAAGTGTGTCTGGGAGAAATAACACATGATCTGAATTTATGACATGGTATTGCCACTGTGGAATATGAAAGTGTATGCTCTTCCCCTTCATTAAAATTAAAAACTCTAAAAATATTTTATTTAAAATATAAATTACAAGAAAAACTTCACCAAATGTACAACATAACTCTGTCAGACTTCCAGACAAAATCATGAGTATCCAATCCATTACCTTTCTGAGACCAATCAAAAGTTCTTAAGCAATTTATCAACTTCCTGAAGTTGTATTGTCAGAAAAGGAATATACTTAAAAAAATAGAAACGTCCAGTAGTATACCTTAGTACTAAAACTATTTTTTAAAAAAGATCTCAAAGGGAAAAAGGCGATCCCTCAAGACCATGAAACAAAATAACTTAGGCAGTCAGCAAGTAGAAAAATCTGTCAATTCTGTTCTGGTAAAGTGTTTACTTCAAAGAAACTTATATAGGCTGAGGCAAATATATATTCAAGAGTATAAACATTTTTTCCTTTGGATTACCTAAAAACAAACTTTTTAAAGTATATTTCAGATGACTAAAAATATAGCCAAATCTGTCACAACACGACATAAAAGGCAATGGACAATTATAGAATATTTTAAATTAACAGTAATAAGTCATCTACATCAAACCTGTTTCCAACTAAAATCAAAACAAAAGCACAACAACCCCGTAGTGTACCAAATGTGTATTTCAATTTACTGTATGCAATCTAACAAAAATTTGGTCATAATTTACCAGATATACATAAATGATTTAAGTAATAAAAGAAATTCTGTTTCAAGATAAGGTCATATCTCGAGTAAAATAAAGTACATTAAGGATGTAAAACCAAGTCCAGTTTCTATGCAATAAGTGAACTACTGTCTAATAAAGCAGATTTAGGTGATTTTTTAAATATATATATTTGCTCTTTAATATATATTTATAATATAGACAGATCTACCAATTGTAAACTATGGTTTATTTTAAAGGAAGGGGATAAATGGGATGAAAGAAATCTTTATACTATACTTACATATTCACAAAGCAGAACATTTTACGTTTAAAATACTTTTTCATTCATAATATTTCTGCCCAACTATGTCTACTTTGGACTTTACTAGAGTTACATTTTACTCATTTGTTTCAAACACTGAGAATAAGGTGTACTCTTCATTTTAAACAAAACTCAAACCTGAACTAGTCTTCTGCCAGGCTCCCAGGTGTGCAGAGACTACCATACAGTTGAGGGCCATGGGGGCATCTCACAATGGAACACTAACATTTCATCTCTCATCTAGCCACACAGAAAGTCACTGACCAGTATCAAACCATCATTCTACTGAAATCAGAGGCAATGATCAAGTTTGTCTCTTTAAATGGAAATCAACTTTTCAACTTTGACCAGACGGAGCACCAAAAAGATTGTGTCTGTCAAAGAGGCTCTGTGGTTTCTTCCACACAACTGGCCCACTTTAGTTACTTGATATAAAATAGGAAAATATACTCAATTTGTATTCAAAAGAAAGTTGAAAATATGCTGTCTCTCACTCTTCTCTAGTATACAATATGCTCTTGATCCATGTCGTCATGTTAGCATGTAGAAGGCTGCTCAAGTTCCACTGTCAGCCAGTTCATGTCACCAGACAAAATAAATCTAACAATTTCAACTCAATGAATCACTCTTTGACTCCTAAAGAATTTAGATAATGGAACAATAAAGGCTCTCAACATTTTATTTGTAAGATTTCTGCAGTTTGTTGAATCATGGTGACTATAAAGATTTCATCAAGGTATGGTGACTTTAAGGAATGGAAAAACAAATTAACAGCCACAATTTATATCACTCAATATCCCGGTAAGCATGAAACAAAAGAGAATGCACATTTTGGGTTAATTTTAATGATTTTAAAAAAAGGGCACAGGGGGAGAAAACCCTGATATTTCACTTATTTTGCATAACAAGCTAACCAAACTGGACATGGATGATAAATTATAAAACAAATAATTTTATGTGTTTTTCTATGACTTTTCTTCAATTAGACTTCTGTATTTCAAATAAGGCTGAGGTATAGTACACTGGCAAAATTTAAGAGGCAAACAAGAATAGTGCCAAAGTAACAGATACCCAAAACCAAAAACTATGTCAGAAAACATTATATAGTAACCATTTATCGAATTAGAGCAGCAGGAGAAAGTCACTTCTAAGTCATCATCATTTTAGTGGTTTGTCAGCTTCACCATGGCAACGTCGTAACATCATTCTTCATTTGTGCAGTGGGAAAATTCATGTCAAAGTGGAAGGAAGGAAGGGGAGTCAGTTCATTCCAATAAATTACCTCTCCAGTTCTTATAAACATGCCTATCAGCACAGAATTCAGAAATAATATCTAAGACTAGAAGAGACTTGGTTTAAGTTATAAAGCAAATAAAATGAAAAAAATACAAGAAAATAGAACCAATGGGGTTGAAAAAGCCCCTCACTGAAAATCTCTATTAAAAAAAATAAAATTAATAAAATAAAAATAGAAACAAAACTCTACTAGTACAAACTAGCCTGAGTGGTTTGATTGACAGAGTGATTGGGTCAACTGTCACTGTACTTCCACAAATGGATTTTCTTCATTCATGTTACAGTAGTACATGAATGTAACCTCTAGAAAGGACAAGTACTATATTTTCATAGAACCCAAATAGTTAACTGTATATCCTATAAATAAAAAATATTTTACTTTGATAACTGACTGAATGTGGGGACTCCATGTATCCAACCACATGGTTGTTTGCTGTACAGTCCTGTGCAAATATAAAAAAAAATTTTTTTTTTGCTATAAGGCTTTAACCCTACAGTTTTTCACAGCAACGTAACTACCATCCAGCATGTACCATATTTTGCAAGCCTTCAAGTTCAACAATCCAAATTGTCGATTCATAGTATGTCCAAATGCAGCATTCTTGAGGAATATAGTAAGGTCAGTTAAGCATCCAGAGACATACAGACATCTCCCGATTCATCCCATCGAGACGCATCATTCTGGTCTTCTCCATTCTCAGCCAGCTCTTCATCAGGCTCTCCTCCTTCATTCTCCTCGTACTCTTCATCCCGAGGGAACTCTGCATCCTGTCCCTGATCTACACCTTCTTGCCCTCCTGGCTGTGACTTATCTGCACAGTCCATACAGACTCCATAGCGTCGAGATCCATGTCTTATTCCAACACTGGCTGCTAACATGAAGATCTTCTTACACACCATGCATTTGTATTTCTTATCCTTTTTATGCACCTAATTGGGAGAAAAACCCAAAATAAGGATAGTACAGATAAAGACCACATTTGAGCCATTCAAATTAAGCCATACATTTAATAATAAAAGGATAGCTAATGGATAAATACTTTCTAGAGGAAGGACAGTATCAGCTCAAAAATAAATGTTTAAAGCAACTTAGCCATTCTTCCTTAAACTTGCGAATAAAATGCTAGAAACATCCGTTGCCATAAAAGCCCTCATCTTCATGATCACTCACCAGGGAATGTCTTTTTACATGTTCTCTTCTAGTAAACAGCTTCCCACAAATGTCACAGCTAAACGATCTCACTCCAGTATGAATGAGCAAGTGTCTTTTTAGTGTTCGTCTGTATTTGGCTACATAGGTACAGTGAGGGCATTTTAACTTGTTCATGATTAGAGATGAGTCACCTTAAAGGAAGAAAAACAGTACTGTTTAATATATATACCTTTAAACAGAAACCTTATATCAATACTTCTATGCTTAGCCATAAAAACAGCAACTGTTAACACAGCTACTATTTATTTTTTAAAGCTCAGAATGTGGAAGCTTTTAAATATTAAAAATTACCATTTTGTATTTGTTGATAATACTTGCCATTTTCCCACGTTTCTTGTTTGGGCCAAGATTCTGGCAATAATCCATACTTGAAATCATTTGAAGCACCTGGTAACAATCCATATTTGAAATCATTTGAAGTACTTGGTAGCAATCCATACTTGAAATCATTTGAAGTGCTAGGCATCACACCATACTTGAAGTCATGGGATGCTCCTAGAGCAATTGGAAAGGGATATTGAGGAAATGGTTAGGGGAAGTCTGTTATCCCTTAATTAGAGCCCAAGAAAATAAAACACAATTATAAGAACATGATAAGCTTTCTAATAGACACTAAAACTCCATGTTCTGACTCATTCACACCTGTGAGACAGGCCAGGAGTTCAGGGCCAAACTTGGATACACTGTGAATTTGGAGTTAGATATGGTCACATAGAAGATCCTGTCCTAAAACCTATCCGATTCCCTCACCCCGTCTTCACTCCAAAACCTAAATAAAAACAGGTCTTGGATTCAATTCCCATTCTAAAACAATATAAATAAAATTCTTGAACCTCCAAAAATGCGAGCTTACTAACAACAAAAGCCTAGTCCTATAAAAACCCGACAAACACAGAGTCAAGAATTATCTCTTTTTGGATTCAATTACATTTTAAATATATACATACAATTTATTGGGTCAAAGAATTTCTTCTGTATACAGAATCATCAGTTTGAGACTCGATCCAACCAACCATCAATTCTAACATGCAGATTCTTTTTCAGTGGTTGCCAACTTGCTACCCAGTTCCCACTCAGTCACAGCATTTCCCCTCTGAGGCGTGGTATTATGCAGTCCAGGCTGGCCAGCCTTGAACTAAGCAACCTCCTGCCTTCACTTCCCAAATGCACCACCATACCTGTCAGCAATTGTTTATAAGACAATAAAACCACAATGCTTGGGGGGCTGAGGCAAAGCCAGACTAATAAGAGAAAGACCCTGTTTCAAAAATAAGATCAAACCCAACACACTAATTTAGAGCCTGTCAGGCCGCGAGAATCAAGGGCTACCCATCTAACTCACTTTCAATGCCAGATCAAAGACTAATACGATGGAGCCTTTCCTTCCAAACACCTCTCTGGGCTGCTCCATTCCAACATAAGGACCTCTGGGAGGTTTCTCCATGTGTGGTAAATAGACACTTTTAATTCTGACTTCCCTGAAACATTCCTTTTTAATATAGATAGACAGGCACAGAACATGTAGTAATAACACAGGCAGAACATCTCTAACCTAAAAACCCACACAACCTCAAATGCTCACAAATCTAGAATGCTTTTAGAACATCGTATGCTCAGAAAACTTTCAGACAGGATGCTGGAGAGATGGCTCAGTGGTTAAGTGCACTGACTGTTCTTCCAGAGGACCCAGGTTCAATTCCCAGTACTCACATGGCAGCTCATAACTGTCTGTAACTCCAGGTCTTAGGGATCTGACACCTTCACACCAACAAACCAATGCACGTAAAATAAAGTTAAAATTAAAAAAAAAAAACAAAAAAAAAAAACAACTTTCAGACCTTGGACATTGTCAAGCTTTTAGATGAGAGATGTCAACCTATCCGTAAATATCAAAATATTTCAAAATTCAAAAGACTCCAACATTTTAAAAACATCTGGTCCCAAGCACTTTGCTAATAAAATTTCCCATTTACATATTGTACTGTTAAAAATTAGAGTAAAAATTTCAGGCAGTGGTGGTGCACGCCTTTAACCCCAGCACTCAGGAGGCAGAGGCGGGTGGATCTCTGTGAGTTTAAGGCCAGGCTAGTCTACAAAGCGAGTTCCAGGACCGGGACCAAAGTTACAAAAAACTAGAGCAAATTTATTTTCTTTGGTAAAAGAATATAGAAAGAAGTTAAAAAAAAAAAACTTCGTGGGATGATTTTTTAAAATGTACTACATTACCATTATATAGCTTTATACACACACACAGGGAGAGAGAGGGAGGGGAGAGAGGGAGGGAGAAAAAGAGAGAGAGAGAGAGAGAGAGAGAGAGAGTGTGTGAGTTAGTTCCTGGACAGCCAAGGCCATATAGAGAAACCCTGTCTTGAAAATCACCAACAAACAAACAAACAAAACAAAGAATACCCTTCTGGGGCTATAAATACAATGCTGTTGATCTCCCAAGTGGGACGTGGGACAGGGAGGGGAATGGAATGGCAGCCTGAGGCAGTCAACTTTTCAATTTCTACTTTCCCATTTCTAAACTGAGCTGGGGCTTTATGATTCCTATTTCTTACCCATGTACAAAACAAATTACAGTTGCTCTCTAGGACAGCAAGACCTGTCTTACTTTTGTGCTTCTAGTGTTTAACATAAATGACCTTTACCTATTTGTTGAATAAATATTTTAGAAAGAGAACATGAACTTGATATTTTTAACGTGTTCAATATACTTCAAAAGTTGACCTCAGAAATCATATTAGATCTGCTAAAATTCAAATAAATAACGCTGACTATATATAGACAAAAAATATTTAACAAACTGACAATGCAAGATTAGAATTAAATTTAAAAAAACCACACACTTCCAGTTCCATGCTTCTCTGTATATACCATTCATTACTAACAGTCAGAAATACACACTTAGGGAGACTACGCAGTGGACTAAGGCCCTTGCCTCCAAGCACTATCAATTGACCGGTTCCCTGGGACCCACATGGTAGACAAAGTCAGTTCCCAGTTGTCTTCTGACTTTAGTGTCACATCGTGTACACACAAATAAATCAAAGTATTTTTAAAAACATTAAAAAATATTTACAATTCAAATTAAGAAACCCACACTCCAAATTTCAGAGAAGTCTTCTAATTCTTAATATTAGGAAAGATAACTTGTAGAAATTATGAGAAGCTGTAATTCAACATACCTAAGAGTTAATAAGGTCTATTTCAAACAAATACTTAATGTTAACTAATGTCTTTGGTATATCATTCCATAGATTAAGGAGAAAACAGTTGAGATCAAACTCATCAAAAGGGCAACCTATGACAAACAACTCTGGAATCCAAAAGAGCCAGCTTGATTAGCATCTGCCAGACCAAAATCCCAATATTTAGGGAAATAACCCTAAATCAAAGACTTACTCTTAAAAATTAAAACAAAATGGCTCATTTTCCACAGAAAGCTGTTTGTGTGTTGTTTTACAGTTTTACATTCTTGAACCCAATTTCTAAACCAAAAAATTGGGTTCTATTAAATACTCTTAAGACAATAGTAATTCTCCATACAATCAATAAATAAGTAATTTATTTAAAAGATCTTCAAAATTCTCTATTGCTCAAAAAAAAAAAAAATCCAAAGGCATGCTGGGCACTTGGGGGATAGGGTCAGGAAGATCTGAGTTCCAGGCCAGCCAGGGCTACAGAGTGTGACCTGACTCAAGCAAACGAAAACAAAAAGGTGTCCCTCAAAAGTACAGGGCGTGGCCGGCATATTCAAGGCCCTGTGTTTGATCTCCAGCACCTGAAAGGGAGTGGCAGGAGCCAATAACTTTTGCAAGCAGTGCCATCTGGTCTTCCACCATTAATTTTAAAAAGTTCAAATATGAAGTTGAATTTACATCTATATTTCACCTTTAGATGTTAGTATTTTGCCCACATTTTATCCGCTATTGTAACAGGTACTTTTTGCTTTATGCCTAAATACAATATATATATACTATACACAAATAAAAATGTGTGTGTACATATATATGTACATATATGTGTACACACACATATACATTCTTCTACAAAACCAGATGTATACAAATTTTAAACTGAATACTGCTAACAAATACATAGCCACATTTCCAACTTCTTCCTAAAAGGGCAAAAGCCCTTGATCCGATCAAGACCGTACTGTATTGAGTTCAGTCTCCTTTCAGCTAGTGGTTCCTCTGTATGTCTTTCTTTCCAGCCATTAGGGCTTGGACTGCTTGCTGTGTTTTTAAATTTTCTCCTCACAGATAAGATTCAGGTTAAACATTTTTCAAAAATACTTCCTCGGTTGCTGTGTACCCAAAAGTGTATCACATCAATAGGTTCATACCATTTCATTAAGTTGTTTTCAATGACAGTCATTCTAAACAGTCGGTTATATTAATGCTCCTCAGATCTCGTTAGTGTAACCATACCTCTTCCTTCTTGGTATCAATTTGTATTTACCAAGTTCCTAAAGTCATCACAACCGTAACTAATCTCAGACTGGTCTCTAAGTGGAAGCAACTACACACAAGCAGCAAAGAACCTACGGTAGACTTCAGTAACCATGTACACTAGCACTCCACAGCCTTCAGGTCCTTAGATATGTTCTTGCTAAAAATCTTACTGTACCTACCAGCATCACCTGCATCTTGACCACTGCAGGCTTCTGCCAATAAATTTGAATTCACGGTCCTATCGCCATCAGACCCTGAGAGTAGTGCACCGTCCAAATCTGAAAATGATACAAGAAGTTTATTTACAACCATGGCATAACAATTCACCCAAGAACAGTAGTTTCTTTCTAGACCTCTTTTGTTTATGATGCAGGCCAGTTAAGAGGCCTTCCAGTATTGTTTATCCACTACATGAGCAATCCTAAGCCAGAGAGGCATAGCTACAGCAGTACAAACAAATGTAAACTCCAGGTGAAGCAAAGACCCGAACTTTCCTACTGTTGAAAATGAACACCCTCCAAATACTTGTTAAATAGACGTAACACTCTATGTACCTAATGTGTGCCAAGAGTATGAACTTGCAGAGTCTCTCCTTTTACCATGAGTTTCAGGACTTAAATTCAGGATGCCAGACCTGCGTAGCAATCTCTTACAAGTCTTCTCACCAGTCCTGTTATTTCTGACTTTCCGTTAATTGTGAAAACTGTACTAATAATGTGAAAATACTTTTAATTAAATGTTTTTTGTGATGCTGAATGTTCAACCAGGGCTCTGTAGGTCCTAAACATCCTAGGTAATACTACCTTCTTTACAATGTCATCATGTAAGATGAGACAGAACATACTAAAAACAATGACAACATCATTTTACTTTTTGTATGAATATAATGCCTGAACGCATGTATGTGCACTATGTTTGTGCCCATTTGAGCTCCTGGAACTGGATTTACAGATAGTTGTATGCCATGATGTGGGTGTCAGATAATGAGAAACAAAGACCATGAGAAAAGGCCAAGTATATGAAAGGGCCCCTGAATTATTTTTATCCCATTCACAAAGTATTTATAACACTATTAGGATAATACTTGGATTAACAGGGCAAGTGGAAAGAAGGAAGGCTTGTGTTGGGAATCAAAGAATGAGGGAATGTTTTATGAAATGTGACTATAACATGGAAGAGTGAGAAACTGAGTAAGAATTATTTTAGGGGGTAAAAGTAACATCTTTAAACGCTGCCAGAAGTCACTGAAAGATGTCAAGGATACTCAACATATATCAACAATGAGAAGAATATTTTTAAGAATCCAGAACTTGCGGGTGGAAAGAAGGCTCAGCAGTTAAGAGTACTGGCTGCTCTTTCAGGAGTCCTGAGTTTAATACCCAGAAAACACCTGGTGGCTCACAACCACCTATAATGGGATCCCATGCCCTCTTCTGTCATGCAAATGGAGCATCATGCACATAATACATAAAATAAAATCTCTAAAAAGAAGACTCTAGAACTCCAGGTAGGAGTATTCAAGAGAACAGTGCTGAGTGTGCTAGGCTCGAACCAGTAATTCCAAATCCTTGAGAGATGAAGACAGGAAAACTGACCTGAGTTTGTGAAAACTGATAACACAATTTCAAAATCCCAGGACCTACATGAAATGTGCAGTGAGTGTGTCTGCAACGCAGTAACCCAGCACTGTTTTGGCACCGAGAAGATTGTTGGGCATTGCTAGCCAGGTTCAATGACAGATCCTGTCTCTCAGGGGACAAATGAGCAGGACACAGCACCCTCAATACCAATACTCTCGAAAAGAACAGGGTATAAACTGACAGCATAAAAAAATTTAAAAATAGTAAAATTCCATTGTACAAAACCTCTTAAGAGACTATGATCTATACAAGTTTCATTTTCATATAAACATATCCATAATTTATTACCATGGCATATAAAAAAGTATGCAGTTACTTAAAAGCCCTTTATTTATCATAACGAAAACGGGTATTTTTCTTTCTCTTTCCTATTCAGTAATTTCATTTACAACACAAACGTTGTAAATGCTAATTTCTTAGCATCCTACAAACTTGTTTTCCTTCACCCAAACTCACTGATTCAAGAGACTGACTGCCCTGTCTTGTTTATACTGGGCTCCACATAGTTTCTTCTTCTCACTATTCAAAGACATGTTTCTGTCAACAAATAGTCCTCAATACACTCTAGCTTCCTCAATACACTCTAATTCTAATTAAAAAGATCAAACCTCTACCTGAGAAACCTCCGCTGCCCAAGTCATAAAACAAATTTCACAACTCACTATCTGGCATACAAATATATAATATAGCCCTAAGCCTAACTCACCTCTCGTCCACTCACTTTGTCTTCTATCCTCTTGTCCTTGCACACTCCAGCTTCTTGCTACCCTGCCATGAATATCTTTGTTCCTCTCCTGACAAATTCCCCTACAACACCACACCAACTCTCACTGCATTCTCTCCCAAATCTTTTCTGGTCTGTCAGCCCACCTCCCATACTGGAACCTTTCTCAGGATTCCTAAACACCCAATAGATCATGAATTACTACTTACAAATTAGTTTTAGGTAAGATATTCTTAGTCTTAACCTCTAAAATGTGCTTGGTATCTTGAGATGTAAATTTTGTTTCCAGACTCTTTATGATGTGGAAAGGAATTTCCCAGAAGTATCATTTGTTATACTGTAACCTTTTTCAAAGAGTACGGCATTGAGAACAAAAATTTTCAAATACTCTGGCTGGAGTGTGATAGCTCAGTTACTTATAAACCAGTGCTGATAAAATGGAGACAGGCAGATCCCTGATATTACCTTACCAGCCAATCCAGCCCACCTGGCAAAGCAGGTTCAAGGCAAGTGAGACTCACTTTAAAAACAGAAAAGGGGGTGGAAATAAGGTGGATGTGCACACCTGTCTACATGCAGACATAGATATTCAAAACAGAAAACAGCCAGGCAGTGGTGGTGCATGCCTTTAACCCCAGCACTCGGGAGGCGGAGGCAGGCAGATCTCTATTGAGTTCGAGGCCAGTCTGGTCTATAGGGCAAGTTCTGGACAGCTTGGGCTGTTACACAGAGAAACTGTCTTGAAAAAAACAAAACAGGAGAGATGCCTCAGTGGTTAAGAACAACTGGCTGCTCTACTAGAGGACCTGGATTCAATTCATCCACTTAAAGGATCATGATCATCTTCAATTTTCAGTTCTTGTCTAGCTTCCATGGGCACCAACCATGCACATAAAAAACTGACATACAGGGCTGGAGAGATGGCTCAGAGGTTAAGAGCATTGCCTGCTCTTCCAAAGGTCCTTAGTTCAATTCCCAGCAACCACATGGTGGCTCACAACCATCTGTAATGAGGTCTGGTGCCGTCTTCTGGCAAGCAGGCATACACACAGACAGAATATTGTATACATAATAAATAAATAAATATTAAAAAAACTGACATACATGCAAACAAAACACTCAATGCAAAAATTAAAAAGGAGATAAATTCAACAGTCTGGTCAACTTACTATATTGCTGTCAGAAGCAAATAGTATTATATAAACTTGAGTGGTAGGATGATATGATAGGTACACAAAGCCCCCAGTTTGCCTTGCATTACCAAAACACAACTACTTCTCCAAACTTAGAGGTCCACATTAATAGTATTCAAACAACTTATCGCCTGCAGCAAACAAATCACAAAAAAGCTCTCTTACGGATTAGTTCACATAAGGCTTCTTTCTTCAGCTACTAAGTTCCTATAGCTTCACCTCTGTTGCCTGGGGTTTCTTACTTGCAGGCTGTAACCACCAATACACCCAAATGAAACCGGAAAGGAAGGAAACCAGAATTGAGAGTCTACATAACTCTTGCACCCGAGAGGCAGGGAGTCTCAATAGCCAGAGATCATTTCCAAAATGAAAAATAAAAAATATCAAGAGCCAAATTCATGAGGGGGGGAGGGGAGATGGCAGACACTTTCACAGTTCCATCTCTTAAGTATTTAAAAATTCTTATTTAGTAAGATTTCATGGCCCAATAACTACTAAGTGAGCAGTAAACCTTCCTTTTGGGGGGTTGGAAGAGGCTCATTCTTCACAACATAATCCTTAACAATTGAAGCCCTTAAGTGTTGCCTGAACATCTAGACATATGGAGTCCAAGTCCATAAACGGAGAGGAGAATGCACATTAGTCCAACCACCCACTGGAGTACATAGGCAGTACCCTTCAACCACAACATACAGACTGCAAAGTGGTGGTCTAGGCTGAACTACATAACCAGACCTTGCCACAACAGAATCATATCTATGATAAAATTTAAGACAAAACATTAAAATATACAAAACATTTGGTTAACAAAATTAATTTTCTTTAAAAATTTGGGATCTTGGACACTTTTACATAATTTCTAAATTCTGAGCTGTTTGCTTTCCTCCTTTCCCATTAGAGAAGTTGTTCGAGCTATACTAGGGGATTCTTAAGAAACAGAACCATACCTAAAACCCACATTGCAATCAAAGCAAACTCCACAGTTCTAGACTACTCTGAACAGTTCATACAAGAGGTTCTATTACAAGGTCAAAACAGTACGAGGGCTCAGAAATGCCCAACAGAAAACTATTTTAATGGCATGTGAACTATCTCAGTGGGTAAAGGCATGACCTGCATTCAGGCTCTGTGAGTTACATAGTAGAATAGATTCTCCATAAACTGACCTTTGACTTCCACACACAAGAAAGTATATAAATACACGTGCGCATGCACACAAACGTGTTAATTTTTAAAGAATATGTATGATTTTTTAGCATTTCAGAATTTTGCAATACCCAAAGTAATAATGAACAATAATTATTACCACAAATATAGGACAGAAATGCTGACTAGCATATAATCCTAACTAAAAGTTTCCTGCAATTAGAATTACTAGTTATTTTGGATACATGCTTTATTAAGATTCCCTAAAGGTATGTACTTTGAGCACTGCTTCCTCAAAACTGTTTTCTCAGCTGGGTGATGGTGGTGCACGCCTTTAATCCCAGCAGAGGCAGGTGGATCTCTGTGAGTTCGAGACCAGCCTGGTCTACAGAGCTAGTTCCAGGACAGGCTCCAAAGCCACAGAGAAACCCTGTCTCGAAAAAGCAAAAGAACAAAACAAAACAAAAACCTGTTTTCTAAATGTCAAATTATACTCTATTTCACTAAAAGGCAATTATGTGAGGCTAGGGTCAGTGAGATGGCCCAGTGGGTAAAGATGCCAAGTCTGTTGCCCT